ATATGTAGCGACATGTAGCATGCACTGATATGTAGCTACATGTAACATGCACTGATGTGTAGCTGCATGCTACATGTAGCTACATATCGGTGCATAGTACATGTCTGATCTGTAGCTGCATGCCACATGTCGCTACATATCAGTGCATGCTACATGTTGCTACATATCAGTGCATGCTACATGTAGCATGCACTGATCTGTAGCGACATGTGGCATGCAGCTACAGATCAGTGCATGCTACATGTAAGTATCGACTGATATGTACCAACATGTAGCATGCACTGATATGTAGCTACATGTAGCATGCACTGATATGTAGCGACATGTAGCATGCAGCTACAGATCAGTGCATTCTACATGTAAGTATCCACTGATATGTAGCGACACGTAGCATGCACTGATCTGTAGCGACATGTAGCATGCCGCTACAGATCAGTGCATGCTACATGTAAGTATATCCACTGATATGTACCAACATGTAGCATGCACTGATATGTGCCGACATGTAGCATGCACTGATATGTAGCTACATGTAGCATGCACTGATATGTGGCAACATGTAGCATGCACTGATATGTAGCTACATGTAGCATGCACTGATATGTAGCTACATGTAGCATGCACTGATGTGTAGCTACATGTAGCATGCACTGATCTGTAGCTACATGTAGCATGCACTGATCTGTAGCTACATGTAGCATGCACTGATCTGTAGCTACATGTAGCATGCACTGATGTGTAGCTACATGTAGCATGCACTGATCTGTAGCTACATGTAGCATGCACTGATGTGTAGCTACATGTAACATGCACTGATATTTAGCGACATATAGCATGCACTGATATGTAGCTACATGTAGCATGCACTGATATATAGTGACATGTAGCATGTACTGACATGTAGCTGCATATGGTCTGGTATTGCTCCAGATATAGAAGTTTGTTGGTCAGAGATGATGAAAGCTGGGCCCAGGTCAGCGGATCACCATAGCCCCGTACTCAGACAGCTAGCCGGCTAACCAAAGAGGCGCTATGATGGATGCACCATGTTGTTGGTATTAGGACGGACCAGGAGGACCCAGTCTGACACCATCTGGTCCAGAATCCATCAGCATACTTCTTCCTAGCTAGACTGTCTGTTACTTGTGTTAATAAAACTATATATGTTTATTATTCTAACTATTAAAACTGAATTTCTTTGGTCAACACTGCCAGCCACACCCTACACTGGACCAAGGATTATCTCAGGGGCCGTAGAACCTTCTGGATATTTGTCTGTGTGTCACTGTAGCCCCAGGTGTTATTTCAACAAGAAGTTAGCAAATCATACACTACATTCCTGAGCCATGATGCTGCCCTCTTTACATGGATTTAAAGGATACACCCTACATGCCAGCACAGCCCCGCCCCACACCCACAGACAGTAGCAGCCTGCCTCTCGCTGAACATAGCCCCCCCACTGTGGCTAAACAGCGGGAGCAGAGGCAGTGATCTATGTGTTTCAGCTCTGGGTTTGATCAGCCTGGTCCAGAGTCCAGCTCAGCACAGGAGAGTCAGATTTCAACCACTTATTGAACTGGTACTGGGGGGGGCAAAAATCTCCATCACTGGGTTCAATCCACTTCACTTTTATAGCACATTTAACCCCTTATAGGACTTGCATCCCCCTTACAAATAGAGAGTCCCCCCCGTCCCTCAGTGAGGTCTAGATCCTGCTACATGGCTGGACATCTGATTTTGGCATTTGACCAATTAGATGGATTTCATATGCAGTTCACCACATCATCCAGTTAGATTGATTCAA